TCCTGAGTCAGTCCACACACAGCATTAGTGCGCTTTAACACTTGCATGTATAGATGCTGGCCTATTCCCACTTACTGCGCAGTAACTTTAAGCTGGTGTAAATGCACATGTAGACACGGCTTATTTAGACACCGGGGCAGAGGAGGGGGAATGTTTCAAAGGAGAACAGCAAGGGGCCTTTGAAGGGTGTGTGGAGCAGGGAAGCAAGGAAGAGATCACAAGGGACTTGATTGAGATGGTGAGGTGAGGGCAACCTGCCGTGCATGGATGGGGATGGTATAGGGCTGGCATATGCCTTCCCTGATGGGTGGAGGAGAGGCTAGGATAGGCCCCATGCTCTGTTCAGTCACCGGCCCTTTTGTGTCTTTTTCTGTGTGCAGTGATCACTTTAGGATCAGGGCAGAGGCCACCAACTTATGCCGTGGAGCCAGCTGCCGATGGGGGCAGCTTAAAGCTACCATCCACTTGACTCCCATGGGATCAGCTGGCACAGAGGCGAGATGGCCCCTGTGCCATCCCCCTCTGTACACTTGCATGCAGGGAACAACTCCTAGTAGATGTGCACACAGTCGTCTGCTGTTTGATCCCCCTACCATGTCAAAATGTGCCGTTCCCCAGACCCGAGAGAGAGCACAAGCAGCCACTTGAAAGGCACCGGCTCTCTTTGATCAGAGGTGCTGCGGGGCACCCTCGCAACTACAGCCGATCAAGCCAACGTGTCTCACTTCCCAGAGCCTCTCATTTATTTGCTAGTAATTCTGTAAAAGCAACCCCAGCATGAGGGCAATGTGATAACCACACACCTGTCTCAGCAGGGTGCCTATCCCAGCAAGGCGGAGGAGTTACTTAGGATACAGCTGCCGGTTCCACCCCAGAGGTAGGCGCATTGTAGCAGCGAGCCAGGCAGGCCCGGGAGAGGCATCGAGGGTGAATACAGACAGCTCTTGGATAGCCTAGCAGAAATGGGAGGGTGACAGGGTTCCTGCTGTCTCCCTCCGGGCTTGCCAGGAATCCCGTTCTCTCTCTGCTACCTCGAGCGAGCTAATTGCATTCATTGCGGAGTCAGGATAACGAGGTCATATTTGCATCTTGGCGTCATTGGGGTGCCGTCGTGCTACGGGATCTTTAATTCTAGCTGCATCCGGCACTCCTGTGCAGGGCGGACTCGTCCTATGTAGTTCAGCACGGGTGGGGACTCTCTGAGGCTGGAGGTTTGCAGTAAGCTCTGGGGGTAATTTGCCTTTGCCCCATGGCAGGCACACCTTTGATTGGGTCCCTTTTGCTGCAGCAAGAACAAGGCTCTTGGTCTGGGCTTTGGGGCATGAGGCTGCTGGGAGGGGGCGCTGGTGGAGGGGCTGGCAAGGGACATCGGTGCTGGGGATGGCACGTAGCGTGGGGGGCGGCTCTCCAGCACAGGGCAGTATTGTCTTAGTATTACCCCGAGGCAGTAACTCTGGGGAAACAAAACCACATCGGTGTTATGCTGCCTATCGCCCTCAGCAGAAGGGCGGTGGGTACGGATGAAGCCATGAGATAGTGGGAGATCCCCTCCATTGTGGCAGTCCCCATCTCTACACCTTGGGGCCCTTTTACCACCCGGAGTGACCTTTCCCATACCCTCCCTCCTGCCGCCGTGCACCACATCCTTCCCCAGGCCACTGCGGGTGGCTGAGCTCGGTTCCTCCTGCCACCGCTGCACCAGGGAGCTCATGTGCATGGCCCGTGCGCATGACCCCACGCTGGGGCAGCGACTCTGCTCGGCTGGTTCGGGGCTCCGGGTCTTGCATCGGAAACCTCTGGCTCAAGTCCCCTGAGTGGTCTCTGAGCTCTCCCTGCTCCGGGGACAGCGAGAGCGAGTGTCCTGTGCAGGGTGTTCACCATGAGCTCTAGCAAGTGGGGTCTTCTTGTGGATCCGGGTTCCCACCCCATTTCTTCTCTGAGTAGGGGGTAGATCCCCCCGCTTGCTGCTGACCAGGCTGCTGGTGGGTGACCACCCCTGTGCTTCAGAGGAGCTGCAAGCACATGGATCCACGGTGGCACTCCAGATCCCTGAAGCATTGAAGTGCCAAGGTCCATAAGGGGCAGGGAGCTGAGCAGCCTTTTGTTTTGGTGTTTTGCAGCTTCCTCCTGTTTACCGAGCCAGAAATAAGCCCAGTGTTCGGGCCTTTGTGCAACAAGACGCCGCAATGAGTCATCTTGTCAGGCTGCCCTTTCTTCCTGCTCTGCCGCGGCTCCCCACCCGCTCTGGAGCACGGCTGCCCACCCCGTCCCAGGCCCCCCGGCCAAGGCTGAGGCTGGGACCTTGTGCCCTACCTCTGCTCTATAGAGATTAAAAAAAAAAAAAGAAACCTGGGTTTTGACTGCGGCTTTTCAAATAGGTCCAAGAGAAACGGGCTGGGTGCATGGGTCGGGAAACAACGGTTGTTAGCAGGTGGCTCGAGAGCTGGGCCGGGCTTCACAGAGAGTTGCGTTGTAGCAACAGAGGCTGCGGGAAATGGGCTGATTTAGTGTGAGGAAGAGAAGACCGAGGCGGGATTGAATAGCAGCCTTCAACTCCCTGCAGGGGGGTGCAAAGAGGATGGAGCTGGACTGTTCTCAGTGGGGGCAGATGACAGAGCAAGGAGCAATGGGCTCAAGCTGCAGCAAGGCAAGTTGAGGTTGGATATCAGAAAAAAACTTTCTCACTAGGAGGGTGGTGAAGCAGCAGAGAGGTGGTGGAGTCTCTATCCTTGGAGATTTTTAAGACCTGGGTCATCAAAGGCTTGATTGGGATGATGTAGTTGGGGCTGGTCCTGCTTTGAGCAGGGGGGTGGACTAGATGTGACCTCCTGAGGTCCCTTCCACCCTCGTTTGCTAAGACGATAGATGCTATGAACAGTGCGAGTGTCAGGATGTGGGGGACAGGCCCGGAGGGGGTCTGTGCTCTGGTGACAGCTTGTCCCCTTCCTGTGTGAGCAGCGGTGGCGGCTCGGGGACATGAGCGGCCCTCGAAGACTGTTGCTGCCCCTCGAGCATCTCCTTGTGCTGTGTGTCAAACTGCCCCGGCCGCTCTGCCAGCACCGGACCCCCTCGATGCTGTCTGAAGTCAGCGAGCAAAGAGAGTGCTCAGCGCCTTACAGGTCTGGGCCTCATCCTGCTTAAGGATGGGGGTCTGTCTTGCAGGGTTGTGGGCCCGTGGCGTGTGCTTTGGCATCCCTGTGGTTGAAGGGAAGTTAGGCTGTAAGCGGATTGAGTCAGAGCCCTGTGACAGCTGGGAGGAGACTGGATTACAGCTGTTTTAGCTCATTAGCTTCATCATCAGGTCCAGCCCAGCCTTCACCTGCCCTGCAGGCAAGGAGTGTTTTCTACAGCTGCAGGGTAAGGGAGGCCTGTCTTCACTGCTCCCAGGCCCTGGTCCTGGAGCTAACCCAGCTGGGGAGAGCACCTGCCCTGCAAACCTGGCTCCAGCTGCAGGCGTTTGATGAGCATAAGGCCCAGGTTTAACCCTTTCCCCCGTGGGCCAGCTAGCATGAGTGGGGAGCACCGCTGACCTCCACCTCCAAGTTTCTGGGTGCGGATGTGTTTGGCCGGAGGGCTGTGTATCCTCAGCCCTGCTCGGTCCCATCCTACCAGCCTGCGATGGAGCAGAGCCCGCCGAGCGCCGTCACAGGCTGCAGTTTCTCTTCGTGCCAAAGGCACCCGCCTGCTGCAGGGCTGCCCATGCCAATGCAAGTCAAGCCGCTGGTTGGGATCAACAGGGAGAACGGCTTCGCTGTCTTCCTATCTGTGCCCTGACCGCTCCCACCTTGGCGGGACTCGTTCCCAGCTCATCTCTCCCGAGCGGCAGCCAGTGGCATGAAAAATATCACCCCGCATCCCCTGGGTCAGTGGTGCTGGTGCACGTGTGCCTACCAGCTCCGGGGGGTGGCACGGGGCTGGAGGCACCGCGTAGGCCCTTGGCAGGGGATGGCATCAGCAACAGGTGGATCAGCGCCTTCCATGAGCAGCTGGAGGGGCTGCACTGAGCTTTGCACACCAGCAGATGAAATCATGTCCCTGGCTGTGTCTTTGGTAGGGGCAGAGATGTCTAGCAACCAGGGCAGCACAATATTAGCATCTCAAGGTGCCCGGACACCACGGTAAGGGCCAGAGGGCAAGATAACAGGTTGCTAGAATCACATCGTGTGCGGATACAACCCGGCGGTGGTTACAAGCTCAGGCAGGAGCCACAGGGCAGGCAGGGCTGCGTGTCTCTGTGGTACCACTGGGTATATTCCCTTAGGTACCAGGAGGGTTGGGAGGGCTTGGGAGGCACTGGGTTGGGAGGCAGTCCTTTTTTTGCACTGGGAAGTTACCCCCGGAGGAAACTTTGTGAGTTCTCTGCACTTGCAACACCACAGAAATGCAGCTGCTTCTGGTGTGGGGCATGATAACTAGCACACTAATGAGGAGGAGGCATGGTTTCTTCAAGGAGACAGGGGGAAGAGCAGGTGCCTGCAGGATTGATGCCTTTTTTGCTGCGCAGAGCAGGTGAAGATGATGCAATGCTAGGGGCATCGGTGTGCTGTCTACACTATAGCTCCAGCGGATGGGCACCAGCAGTGGCATAATGCAGTGACTGTGACTCTCTCCAATGTGTCCACATCCTTTCTGTAGTGGGGGCCACAGCTGGACACAGGACTCCAGATGTGGCCTCCCCAGTGCTGAACATAGGGGAAGAAGCACTTCCCTTGATCGCTGGCACCACTCCTACCCATGCAGCCCAGGATGCCGGTAGCCAACAAGGGCACACTGCTTGCTCCTATTCGGTTTCTTGTCCCCTGTCCCCCCAGGTCCTTTTCTGCAGAGCTGCTGCCCAGCCAGTCACCCCCTGCCCGCACCAAGGGAACAGCCAAGCTCCCTCCGTCCTGCCCTTCCTCCCCGGTCATGCTTCTTCCAGTAAATTTGGGTGCCAGCCAGGCTGAGCTTGCAGCAACAGGGAAGAGGCAAGTAAACATTGAAAAGGGAACTGGTGCTGAGCGGGTTTCAGGGGAAGCAGTCAGCTCCCTGCAGGCTGCTCCGGACCGCGGCGCCGTGGAGGGAAGCTGAGTCGGTGTCCCAGGGAGCGCTGATGCTCCAAACTCCAGCCCTGCACTAGGCATGGACAGGGAAGTGCTTTCAGTGGCACCAGCACCCAGAGGCCCTCGAGGGCACCGTGGAAGCTCGTGGCAGGTGCCACTGGGTCTCTTTGAATTCTGGACCCAAACATGGAGCAGCTCTGGCCTATTTGCTGTTCAATCCAGTTTCCTCTGGGGGCTCCAGGCCATGTCCTCAGTCATCCTCCACGGGGGACCAGCCACAGCTCTCTGATCCGGGGGCCAGTTCTTCACTTTGGGGCTACTCTAATATGTGTACTCAGGAGTCCTCTACTAGCAGGGGTTGCTGGGATGTGGAGGAGAGGATATTCCAGTGGTCAGAGCAGCCCCCAGGATGCCGGGGACCTATGCTCGCTGCTTATATGGCTTCCGCCTCAGCATCAGCGGGGGCTGGAGGGGGGCACAGCTCCAGTCTCCCATGCACCAGTTGAGACTTCAGAGAGGCGGGAATGCCCCCGATCCCATCCAGCTGCTCCTGTGGGCCTTTTCAGCAATGCTGCACTATGCCATGCTGGGCTGTGGGCTCAGGAAACACAGCAACAGTTTCTAGCTCTGCCACTGACTCTCTGTGGTCTTGGTCAAGTCACTTGACTGTGTGTCTCTTGGATAACACTGACCCTCTTGCAAAGGTGCTTGTGGATCTGCCGAAGAATGATGCTAAGCATGGCTGTGGTTGTTGCGTGCGCCCTGCTTTTGGAGGCCAAGGTGCGTTCCTGCCACGGATCTCCAGGCTTTCATTGCAAGGTCCTTTTGTAGCCGGTGCAACGTGCCCTCTCCTGGAGCATCCTCCGGCCCGGTCCTCACCTCTTCTGCCCTGGGGAGACTGTCAAGCAGGTCATGGCTCAGAACAAGCCTGGCTTCCCCTGTTTCCCTCTGCTCAGGACACGAAGAAGTGCCTGCATCAGGGGACAGAGCATTTTTCCCAGCCTGGCTCTATGGTGGCCCCGTGCAGCAGGCTCACACCGGGGGTTGTGAAAGCTGCTCTTCACCCTCAAAACTCCCCTGGGGTTTGCTTACATGTGTCCTGCAGCACTGCCACAGCTCCACCCCTGGGGAAAGGGACTGGGGTTGCCCCGGTGCTGGGCACAGCTTGTGTGCTGGGGGCAGAGGGCCTGGATAGGGCATCTGCACAGGGTACATGGGGTCCTGGCTGCCTGCGGAGGTCATTCATGACCATTTGGATGGGACTGAGACCACCCCAGGTGCTCTCATGGGCCTGTCACTGCAGTGCTCAATGGTTACAGCCGGTCGCGGGCAGGTACAGAGACCCCATCTCCTAGTCCAAGCAACCACTGCTGTTGAAAATCATTTATTAGAGAAAAGCCTGGGAAGTATTTGGCAGGCAAAGCAGGTGGTAACTTCCCCTCTTAATACCACTTCTTCTTGATCAGATAGACCGCTCTCGGTCAGCTTTGGTCCAGGAGTTTCCCACCCCCTGAGCCCTGTGCATCCTCCTTCCCAAATCCAGCAGGGATGCTTCCCGCTAGCAGTCACACTCACCGCTGGCCCAGGCAGGCCCCTCGCGGCGGGTTGCACATTTGGGTTTAACCCTTGGGGTTTAGAGAAGACCCATAGGGCTTGTTGCCCTGCTGTACCAGTGGAGAAACCAGTGTATAGCAGCGTGCCTTGGTCAGTCGTGAGCAGAACGGGGTAATACTGAATGCAACCCACCCCACACCACCTTCAGAGAGGGGATCAGCTGAACGGGCCCAGTCCTGGTGTCCCCTTTTGCATGAGATGCCTCCAAGCCTCTTCTGACCGCATCTTTCCCTGCAGATAACAAGCTGCTGGAAAAGTCCAACCTGCTGGTGCAAGCCCAAGCTATGGATCTCCGGACGGGACTCAGCCCTTGGTAAGCAGGATGTGCCCAAGCTCCCCTGGCCTGAGAAGGCTCCTACTCTGCAGAATAGGGATGCTGTTTTCCAGGGAAGGGGACAGGGAAGAATAGGCAGCCTTTTCCCTGGCACGGCTGGCTCTGACTAGCTGTGGCCATGCCTGGCCTGGCACAGGGGAGGGTTGTATAATCAGCCCTTTCTTCTCTGGCAACACAAATGCATTGAGTCACGCCAGGCTCCCAGCTGAGTAAGAGCGGAAAGAGCCGCCTGGTCCCCAGAGCCAGGGGCCTGAGCAGGGTGTGCCGTGCTGCGACGCTTGCCCCAGAGCCAGCTGCCTCCGAGGGAGCAGCCACCCAGCCTGCACACGTGTGTCTGGCACCTCCTCATGCACCAGGAAACCCTCGTTCTGCCACCCTTTGCCACGCCACGTGGGAGCCTGGCAACGCTACGGATGCCCAGTGGATACTTTTACTGCATTTACCACAGGCAAAGTTCAAGCTCCCTAAAGCATAGAGCAATCGTAGAGGAGCGGGACTGGAAGGGACCTGCATAGGTCATGTCTTATCCAACCCCCCTGCCTGGCGCAGGACCAGCCCGGTCCAAACCATCCCACATAAATCCATTGTGCGACTTCCCAGGAAAACTGCCATCAACTATGACACAATATGAGACATCGCACTTGAACCTGCTGCTGGGAAAGCAGGGGGACCACAGCTGCCAATGTCCTGCTGCTGTAAAAGGGCGTTAGCATATGCTCAAAAGATGCCAGGGAGAGGCCATGCCCCCACTACAGAGGAAGGCAAACCCCGCTCTAGTCTGTACCAGTCTGAGCGTGCGGAAAAATCCCTTCCTGATCCCAAATGCAGCATCAGTCTGACTATGAGTGGAGGGGCAAGATCCTGCAGCCAGGTGGTCCCAGCAGGAGCATTGGCACAGCCCAGTGCCCATTCCCAGCTTGGGCTGCAGCAGCACCCAACGCCTCTTGGGGAGGCTTCAAAACCCCCTGACAAGGGGTGGGGGTAGGGAATAGGATCCCTCCCAGCCCCTTGCAAAAACTAGCAGAGCCCAGAAACCTGGGAAATCCCTGTAGTAGTGCACAGGCCTCGCTACACTTAGATCAGGATGGGCAAAATGCAGCACATGCGCCAGGGTGATTTTGCCTGGCCCATGGTTCATAGATTTATAGATTCATAGATGTTAGGGTCGGAAGGGACCTCAATAGATCATCAAGTCCGACCCCCT